ACCTTCCGTTTTGTTCGCAACTTTGCAGCCAATTTCGCAGTGACCATCGCCTTGGTGAGTGGCTCCGCGTTGGCTGCCATTTACTCCAACGACACTGGCCTGAGGATGTTGCAGGTGGACGCGGACTTCTCGCCGAACTTGAGCTTGTCCGATGGCAGCAAGCGTCCGTGGATCATTAATCCCGCCGGCATGGACCGCCCCTTCCCAGCTTGGGGCATTGCTTATGCAATCCTCCCGGCGACTTCTTGGCCACAGATTATGGGACACGTTGTTGGTCTCTTGTAGTTTGGGGCTGTAGGCGAGCGTATTCGTAATTAGTGTCGCCTCAATCGCACCCGAGGCGATTGGCTTCGCAGTTTTGGGTTACCTGGATCAGAATCTGACCTCTGTGATCGTGAACAGGCCCTCCAACAATCTGAAAAAGCCGGCTGCGTATCATCTTGACTTGCTGCCAGCCACTATTCATGATCCTTTTGATGGGGTTGTGGTTTCCCAAAGACGGAGCCGAAAAAAAAGGATCGCTCTTTTTGTCTTTCCTTCCTAAGAGTGACCAAGGTTTGTTCGGGGAGCACTCACGCTGCCCGTCTGCGCTGTGCTGGGCCTGCCTTTGTCCGTGGCCTCCACGGTGCCAAGCATCACCCACGTGATCTCGTTGACCACTTACGAAGTGAAGCAACTTCCGGAAGGTGAGCGCAAGGTGCCTACGAAGGTGGTTGAGCAGCGTGCTACTAACTTCTTGATTCTTGGTAGCTGAACGAACACACTTTAAGCGTGTTGGGATAATGTTATCCCTAATGGAACTGAAAATTTCATCTTCTGGGGCCTATGAACTCAGCAACTAAGGATTCACGTGCTTATAGGCTCAGCACTCTTCCTGGCACCAGTGCTGAAGTTCCTGCCGCGGGCCGTGCTGCAGGGCGTGTTCTTCTACATGGGAATTGCGAGCCTGACCGGCAACAACCTCTTCGACCGGCTGAAGTTGTGGCTCATCTGGGACCCGGCCAAGTACCCGCAGTACCACTACATCCAGAAGCTGCCCATCAGCCGAGTGCACCTGTACACCGTCGTCCAGGTCATCTGTCTCGGCATTCTGTATGGGTTGAAAGCAATTAAGGAGACGTCGGTGGTGTTCCCTTTCTTCATGGCGTCCCTTGCCATCATCCGCAAGGCCATGAGGTTCATGTTCACCGAGGATGAACTGAAGCAGCTGGACGGCCTTCCAGGTGAGGACGAGGAGGAGGATGCCACCATGTCGAAGCCGGACATCGTGAATCTGGATGCGAAAGATGCCGCCTAGGGTGGGCGAGCAAGGATGTGCAGGGTGTTGTAGATTCAATTAGCGTAGATAGGGAGGCCACTCAGCCGGACCTTTTGCACAATACACATTCAATTTTGGTTCTTCGGGACTCGTCAGCGAAGCCCTTCTTTGAAGGCCTTTCCTGGCAAACCTGCTCCAGCACGGTTGGCACGACCCCGTGAGTTGGGATGTGGGGCTTGATAAGAAATGGAGAATCTGCTCTTGGGTCTTCAGCCGCTGTGCTTGAGGTTTTGTGTCTAAATCTTTTGGCCCATTTGCGGCCACGCAACGCCAATCAAGTGTCGAGGGAGTTCGATCGCCGAAGGCGAGCCACTCTCGGGCACACGTTCTTGTACAAACAGTGCGCTGCTAAACTGGCTTACTCCAAATTCTCGGTGCAGAAAGAAGTTGGACGATTGGATTTCCGCCGCCGCCGCCGTGCAGCTTTGCAACGCTTTAGTTAATGAATTTTGGGTTGCTTGCGAAAGCAAGATATCGCCACCGTACCCTCCTGGAATGTTTACTTATAGCTTCGAGCTTTGAGGGGAGGCTAATGCAATTTTCTATCGCTCGGACGTCTACTTCTGCCCGGGCAGCATGCTAGCTTGTTTTAGGCTTTAGAGTGTCAGATCGTGATCGTGTTATCTGCTTCACAGCCTTAGGATCCCATGGTATCTTCTTCCGCTTGCTTACGTCGTCATCGCTGGATTCTCTGCAACCTGTGCCCTAAGCTTCTCCCCTACTCTCTGAACCCCTAGGCCTAAACCCTAAACCGAAGCCCCAAGCCTCTGCAGGAGCAAAGACAAATCCACAAGCTGCGCAACAGTCCGCAGGACTACGTCGGGTCTCCGGTACTTTGACCGTCGGGATATACAAAGAAAGGTTTGTTTCGGTTTCTTGGACAGTCTTCTTTCCACATTTGAGTTTGATTCGTATGGAGTTCTACAGAACCCTGCAACCAATGCCCCGACCCTAACCCCTAACACTGAACTCTCTAAGATTGAAGCCTCTAACGAGTTTGTAGCGGCTTGGGCTACGGGATATCTCTGGTTCAGCTGCTGAACTCAACGTAGGGGCATGAATAGCTGTTGCTATTATTCCTTCGGCTTCCTTATCATCGTTGTACTTTACGATAGTATACCCCACAACCCTATTCTAGTTTGTTGCTGGCCTGGCCAGCTGATAGAGTTTGTGGCCACCAGAATTTGGGGGGCCCTCAATGATCAGAACAGGCACTTTGGGACATCTTGTACTCTAGCTAGAAGCACGAGCTCTGTGGAAGAATATTTCTAGTTCCACCAAACCATGGCAAACCCTGGTTTGGGCTAAGAGCTTTTGTCCCTTGGGTTGGTACTCTTTGAGTCAGGAGTCCCAAAGTGTCGGAGTCGAGGGAATTACCTATGCCTGTATGCCAGCAGGCATCAGTGTGCGCATCATCCTATGTCGTTTCTTCCTATGCCTTGCTGCATACTGCGATAGCCATCTCGTCTCATCAGTCGCAGAGACCTTGCAGGCTTCGGCCCGTAGCTGGAAGGTTCCACCACCGAACCGGCAAACAGTGACCGCACCACTAAGTCCAGAGGGGCTGCAGAGCCGCTCAGGGAAGCCCCCCAGATGCTCGCGGAATGCCCAACACGCGCGAAAGCCCAGCCCTGAGCCAAAGCAAATCCCGTTTTTGCTAAACTAAACCATCCAAAACCCCCAAACATAACCCCGGAACCCTGACGCCAGAAAAGCTCTGTGTTCTGAGGCAATGCTGCGAGGCGGCGGTATCCTCGAGGCTCGCTCCGAAAGGTTTTTGGCTTGAGGGCTGTTGGAGCTGGAGTTATGGGTTCAGGGTTTAGGGTCTGTTGGATTGTAGGTCTGGAGTTTGGTTAGTTTCCGGGTTTAAGGTTTTCTAGGCTACAGGTTTAGCATGTAGGGATTTAGGGTTACAGGTCTGGGTTTTCGTGATTACATGTTTGGGGCGTGGGCGTGTGGGCATTCGCTGTTTATGGTTATGGGATTTCAAGACAGTATGCGAACGCCATGCTCACATTGACATGCGAGCATGTTTTGTATGTGTATATGTAGTTTATATGTACCTACATGAAGACTTCTCTTTGTACTCGTATGTGTAGGTATAGTTGCAGGGAGGCATAGGAGCGGATGTCGGTGCAGGTGCCGCGTCGGTGGGTGTAGCTGCAGGCATGTGTTCGAAATGTTGTTGTGTACGCGTATGCAGTGCATATGCATATGTATATGTATATGTATATATGTATGTACATGGCTATGAAAATGTACATGTATATGAATATGCATTAGTACATGTACATGTATAGACACAGGCATGTATACATGAGTAGATAAGCTTTAACAATAGAGGCCTGCATGCCTGCATGCGTGCATGTTGGCATGCATGGGTGAACGGACGCGTGGATGTATGCATGGATGGATGTATGGATGTATGGGTATGTATGGGTATGTATGGGTATGTATGGGTATGTATGGGTATGTATGGGTATGTATGTATGTAAGTAAGTAAGCAAGTAAGTAAGTAAGTGTGTATGTATGTATGTATGTATGTATGTATGTATGTATGTATGTATGTATGTATATATGTAATGTATGTAATGTATGTAATGTATGTAATGTATGTAATGTTTGTATGTATGTATGTATGTACGTATGTATGTATGTACGTATGTGTGCATGTGTGTGTATGTATGTATGTACGTATGTATTTGTGTCTATGCATGTATGTACGTATGTATGTACGTACGTAGGTATGTATGTATGCATGCATGCATGCATGTATGTGTGTATGTATGTATGTATGTATGTATGTATGTATGTATGTATGTATGTATGTATGCGTTCTTATGTTATGTGGTGTTATGTTATGTTATTTTATGCTATACCATGTAATGTAATGTAATGTAATGTAATGTAATGTAATGTAATGTAATGTAATGTAATCGAATGTAATGTAATGTACTGTCATTAGTAATGTGATGTAATGTAATGTACTGTAATTCGTAATGTAATGTACTGTAATGAGTAATGTAATGTAATGTAATGTAATGTAATGTAAAGTAAAGTAAAGTAAAGTAAAGTAATGTAATGTAATCGAATGTAATGTAATGTAATGTAATGTAATGTAATGTAATGTAAAATGTAATGTAAAA